CTGCTAGACCGGATGTAGGAGAATCGGGCACAGGAAACCAGTTCAGCACAGCAAGGAGAAAGGTTGGTCGATCCTCCTTAGGGTCTAAGGATGTCGTCTAATAGAAGTGGGGCTCTCCCTTAATTACTTAATATTATATATATATATATATATATATTATATATATATTGTTTCTTTATGTTTAAAGCAGTTTTTCATATATTTTCTATTGAGACAGTTGTCGACATCCCCAATTTTCCTGTCTAGAGTTGTATCTAAGGGCAAGTGGTGCTCCATCAATATCTCATTTTGAAGGGCTGATTATCTCCTATTTTTGATGTACTTCGCATACTACCATCCATTATCTTCTCCCTCCATCCCTACTACACCCACTGGACAACAGACTGGTTGTTTCCTGCAACCGCCTCCCATCCACTTGGCTATCCAACTCCAACCATCCCTCATATCTTCCACTTGCAACTTCCAGCCGCAACCCAACTTCCACATTGATGCTGCCCTTCCCAGTCACCCACAACCTTGTTGTCTCCTAGCGCACTCTTCCTCCCAGTTGTTGCCATCCCAACACAGCCCAGTTCTTGCCTACCTACAGCAGCACTTCTCTCCTATTGCCAACCCACTGCAGTCTTCTTCCGCCATCACACCATCCAACCCTAGCCACCTAATGCACCCCCATCTAGCATAAAGACCACCATCCTTCAGGATGCAACCCTAATAATGTTTGTGTCGTATATGTTTCTTATTTCTATTTCTATTGGTGTGATTGTATTTCTCTATTTTGAATTCAGCAATAATATCTGATTTTCTATTGTTGTGTGGGATAACTCTGATACCATCCATATCTTAATTATTAGATATCTTAGTCGTCAAACATGGAGTAGTAGAAAAATTAATTAATTAATCATCTAATACTCTTACTTTTTAATGTATACTTGTCCATATCAAAATAATTGAAAAAAAGGTAGACTTTTATAAAAATATGTCTGGTCTTTTTCAAAGAAAGCGAGAAATAGTGTACTATTTTTTGGAGAGATTTTCTCATCACATTAATGAAATTTTGGGGTACTAGATTTTTAAGGATTTTAAGAAAACTAGCAATTGTGGGTTTTTTTCATGTTATAAATAGGTCTTATAAGGCATCAAAAAAACAATAGCATGTCATAAAAAAATTTAAATTGCGTATTTTATTGAATGTGAATTGTTCAAGTATGATGCAACTTTAATCATAGCTTCTAGAGAAAATCTCTTTATATCGATGTAAGGCTGACTTGAGTACAATGATTTCTCTAATTTATTTCTTTTATTTCTTCTTTAAGTATTGGTTTGTGTGTATGGTTTTCTTAATCAAGTCAACTATGATATAGTTTTCCCTTCTACAGTGAATCATAATAGCCACATGATTTCCAGTTTGATTTAAAAATTCTTACAAATTTTGCACTGATGATCTTCAAATTATAATTTGGAGCAATTGTACGTGTTTTTTAGTCATACATCGAAAAAGAAAAAAATTAATCCAAACTAAGAAATATTATCATGCAAATTTTTTGTTTTGCTCTTATTCTATATATCTCATCCAAAATTTGAATTAGTAAAATCCTATAATTTAATATGTTTTGCATTAACTAAGATGCTATAAAAAGGAATTTAGATATTTGGATGTATTTAACCCCAACTAAAATTATCACGGCAAGTGAGAAAGTACTTTATAAGTAGGGCCTAAGTTAAGACTAAGCAAATATTGTTAACTTGATGGGCACAAGTTATAAAAAATGGTAAGAAAGTTTCATGGGGTTCAATTTACAAAAATAAAAAGGAATGAGAAATAGCCGCTCAAAAAAAAAATTCAAAAGAAAGAGCTGGAGTTCAACTTTAATCGGTTATGATAAAAAAATATTTGAAACCAAATAGCCATTAAACAATTCCATGTTTAGTGGATGAGTAACTTTCCCTGCATCACTAATTCAAAAATTTTTCCAACAAGTTGTAACAATCTAAATAAGATTTTATCATTTCTTAAGTGTACTAAGAACCAAAAAGCTACTTTTTTGGTGATTTTAATCAAATCAAAATACAACAAAAAACCTACAACTACTTGAATAAAAAGTTATTCCTCAATGAGATTTAGGAGATTACAGCCAAATCTTTAATAATACGGAAGTGTTGAGGTATAAATGTACATTTCTAAAATATGAAGGCTATGATACCCATATAAAGTCATGTAAAACACAGTTGACTACATCTAAACAGCACGTTATCAAATAACACAACAATCCATCTTTATTGGCATATTCACATAAAGCACTTCAAAACTGACATGTTAGAAAGCATTAAAACAAAAATGCCAACTAAGAAAAACGGAAAACTAGTCAATAAGATTCATTTGACTATATATTTCAAACTTATATTAGTTTGTATTTAAAAGATAAAAAAGGAACAATGTCAGAACAACTCTGATAATAACTAAAAAAGTTTTTTGTCAAAACAGTGCACCTTCCCAAGAGTTGTTTTCCAATATCCATCAAATCTGTAACAGTCTTGTCTCCATCACGAGCAAACTCCAAAATCTATGAATCAACAAATATCAAAATTTTTAGAAAAGTCAATCTATCAACTGATTTTGAGTTTCATTGAGGGTCTGTTTGGGGGGCAACTATAGTTGTTTGAAGAAATATATGTGAAGCTGCTGCAAAAGAAACTGCTCTTCAAATAGCAACAGTAACTACTATAAATTTATTTTAATTTTAAAAAGTTAGACCCCAGCATTTTAGCAACAACCACATTTTAACAGGTCGGGTTGAAAAAAAGCAGTTTTCTACTATAAAAATTTCTAAAAAACAGCAAGAAAGTAGTTCCTCAAACAAAAGTATAATGGTGGTCTGATAAGCAAAGCAGTCAGAAAGCTATCCCAAACAGACCCAAGCCGTGAGTTTAAACCACATAAAACATTAAATTATGGTTATACAACTACCCAATTTTGTTTCATAAACATTTGAAAGGTCTGCTAAAAGCAATATAGAAAAGCTAAGATGTATCAATCTAAAATATCAGCACTCCATATCTTCTGGCACGATTGCATAACATTACAACTAAAAACTATGATGAATGGATATTAAAGCTTGAAACTAGTACATTAAACGTCAAACTGCTAACATGAGAATATCACACAAAGCAACCAAGGCAAAATCTCCAACGAAAGGGTTATAGAAAACTAATTAAGTTGTGAAAATCTTGATTACGAAATAGTGTTAAAACAAGTTTTTAAAGATTAGATGACATAAAATGACCAAATTGAATTAATTGTTGTTTCAAGATACATCAGATTTTGCACCAAGAGAGTCCTTAACCATAAATAATTACAAGAAAAGATTAGAAAGCAAACCCGACATTCAGACACTCGATGAAATGATAAAAATGATAATGTGCATACGTATGTAATGATCTAGTGAAGTTCACCATAATTTAAATGTGTACTGTGAAAATTTATCAAAAAAATAAAGAAAGCAGACATTTTGCAAAAATCATCAAAGATTTAAGATAAACATCTATTAGTTAAAAGGTTGAGAAAAATAATATTCAAATTATTTCAACATGAATAACTTAATGAAGGTCCAGTATACATAAATCGGCTAGTATTGAAAAAAAAAAAAATAAGGCGTAAGGGTTTTCAGGAAAATGATTAAATTTTAAATATTGTTAATTACAAGGCTAGTATTGAAAAAAGAAAAATAAGGCATAAGGGTTTAAAAAATGGCTGGTTGCACAAATTACAAGCAAAAAATGGGTCAAAAATTCGCTTAGAACTCAAACTAAAATTTTGCAAACCAATTTGAAATCAAAAGAATATCATAGATCAAGAGCAAAATATGTAGAAAAAAAATAAAATAAATTAATCAAGAAGTTATGAAAAACTCATTATCTGACTAGATTTTTTTTATTTGTTGCTTGTTGTGTTTTAAAACTATATTTTTAGTTTAGAAATAAATAAATTACTTTCAAAATCACTCGAAAAAATTTATATGTGCTTTAAGTGTTTCTAGAAATAAAGACCACCATCAACAGCCACTACCAATCATTGTCAACAGCAATTATGCCTATTAATCATTGTCTCTATTATTGTCACTGCCACCACCACCAACAAAGATTGCCTACAATTGTCATTATCACCTCACCACTACCATTGCACCACCATCATTGTATAATCCAACTTATTCATAATTCAATAAAAATAAAAACATCAGATATTTAATGTATTGAATATGTTTCATTTCAAATAAAAATATAAAGAAAATAAAATAAAATAAAAAATAAAAACAAAAAAAGTGATCCCAAATGAACCCTTAATTAAAAATAGCGTTGAATTTAAAAAAAAAAATTCATATACCAAACTAAGGAAGTTCTCACCAGTAAAAATATGATGGAATGGAAGCTTAGCAACAAGCCTAGATTTGTAGATGCTACCAAAAATAATAAAAAAATGATAAATAACATGAATGTGTGGTAAACAAGGCCATGATGCTATTTCAGTGAAAATCAAAAGCCTGAGTGGTTAAATCTAACGCTTTGAACAATACCAAGAAATTACATTTATGAAAACAATATTTTAGTTATTCCAAAGCATAAGTGACATAAAAACCTTTCAAAAATACAAGAAATTGATCAAATATCTAGCCTTACACTAATTAAAGAATATCTATGTGAATTATTCATGCCTTAACCATTCAAAATTAGATAGGAATTGACTATCATATGCTTGTACATTCAATATTAATATTTAGAAATAGCTAGTGCTGGAAACAACTTAAAGTGAGGGTGGAAAATGCCCACCCTCAAAATTTTAGTTCTCTTAATAAGATGCTAATTTTTGGGAAATTGCCACCCACAATTTACTGCTTTGCCCCGTTTTTACCCCAAAAAAATTGCCCAAATTCCACTTAAATCTCCTAAACTTCTACAGTCTCGTCTATTTATGTTTTCTTCTGATAAATTTGGCGGTAATATCAGACTATTTGTATGGTTTATTCCTTAGAAAACATTAATTGAATGTATTTTTTTCACTTAATTATATTACGATTATCATATTATTTGATAACTTAAAATTTTGCCTACATCAAAAAGGGGCGGAGTCCGCCACTGGGAATGACTACAGTTCACAATAAGATTCTAACTTCACATTCCTATGACAAGAAGAGAAGAAGAACTTGAAGAAAATTCTGTCAAAATGATAAAGAATTAACAACAAAATCCAAACAACTACCAAGAATTTGAATCGTTGACCAGCACCTGAGTCGCAATCAGCGCAACGGCCTCCGTGTAATTCAGTCGCAGGCCACGAGCAAGACGTTTCTGCGATAGGAAACCAGCATTATGGAGGGCCAACTTCTCCCTTTCCCTTGTTACCAACTTCATATTTGAGGAAGGCGCTGCAAAAGCTTAATTGAACTGATAAAGTAAAAATACAGTTTAGAAAAGAACGCATCGAATCCATTTAAGAATAGTATTCGAGTGTTCTAGGTTCGTAAATGCGTTCCAGAACGCTATGGGCGGATATAGAGATGTAATATACTCGAGCAGATAAAAAAGTATCACGAAAATTACTGGCTGGAAACCCTAAAAAAGGTTGCACCCCTGAGCAGTGAACGGGAGTCGGAACAGAGGACAAGAACGGAGCAAAGAACGGGAGTCGGCACAGAGAACAAGAACGGCTCTAGTCGTTTTAACTGGCCGGAGAAAACTATCGTGATCTATACGTGAGCCGGTTTGTCACCAGGTAACCAAAAAAACGAATATTAGACCTATTTATATTTTTCCTGTCATACATAATATTTTTTTTTTTTTAAGTGAGACCTTACTTTTATAATTATTCTTATTTTTTATTAATATTGGTGTAGCCCTCAAATTTTTCAAAAAATAAATCTGTAAAAAAGGTGAAATTTAAATCCTATTAGATAGAATCATATTTCGTTTGGTCTCTTTTTTTTTTTATGTAAATTCATATTTTTTGAATCGGATTCACAGGCAAATTTAAGGAATTTATTCCGTTGTGACTTGCAAACACTTCTCCATCAAACATAAATTTGATGAATCTGAATTAATCGAAATTAGTAAATCCTTTTTAATGTAAATTCGAGACACATCCAAACACTATATAAAGGGTTGTTGGAGATCATTTTCAATTTTTTTTTGGTTTTTGGTTTTATTTTTTATTTATGTTTTGAATTGAAATAAAATATATTTGAATCTAATAATAATTTTTAAGAATATTCAAAGAACATAAAAATTATTTTAAGTGTTTTTAAAAGTAATTTCATTTAATTTTTAAAATAGACAATGAAACTATACCAAAATATGATAAAAAATAGTTATTTTAAACAGAAAAAATTTAAAATAAATAGAAAATAAAATTGAACAGACCCATAAAGTTGGTATGAATGTTTTCAATATATATTAAATTGTCTTTAAAAACAAAAAATAAATAAAATATACACTAAACAAAAATATTTTTCAAAAAAAAATACACAAAATATTATCGAAAACATCTCCTATTTATATTTCTAAGGCACTTCATTAGTTGGCCAAATATTTCTCTTTTTTAATTATTTACAAAAATATATTCAAATTTTTATTTTTAGATCAAAATGTTTTTATTACATTAAAAGCTTTTTTGCTCAAGACTCACGCAAATTTTTAGACAACGGAGCTGCGTTGACATATATTTCCTAACAATTTTTCTATCTTCACAATCAAAGAGATTATATGATTCATGTCTAGTGAAGCCTCACACCCTCAATCTTTACTTTTCAATTGTCATCGATTCAAGATTAGCAATAATATATGTTTAACTTATTTAGATAAAAATGCATCCATCATTGTACATCAGAAATATGACCGCACGAATCTTGTTGAAATTCAACAGGTTTCGCTAATGGACACCAATGGACTCCATCAGGATAGTCAAAAGATGGAAACACTAAGCATCATTTCCTTCAGAAGGAACAATGGGTCGATCTAACAGAAGCACGGCATAATGAAAGAATCGGTGGCACCTAATCCAAGGGGCTGTCATTTGTAATCAGCTCCCTTAACTGATTTAAGAAATCTTTACAAAGGCAGCCAAAGGGCACCCCACATAATATCTTTATAATCCTCTAGAAAGCCCCTTGCCTAATGTGTTTTGCCCATTGGATTACGATGATGGATAATCTGCCTGTCGGTTTAAGTTCACCCTTACGACCGGAGGACCTTTACTAGAATTCCATTGAGAAGATTGTTCGATGATGACCTTTCAGCCGACTGATTGTATGTAACCAAGGGTTTTAGCCGATAGACTGACACAGGTAACGGATCATTAAATGCCTCTCTTCATGAAATTATGATTACAAAACAAGTGCTAACATCAATTACAGATATCAAAAGTTGTATAAGTGAAGTAAAAATATAAGAATGTGTCATAATAACTTATAATGTGTGTATTTTTGTTTGTTTTTGTCTCTTTTATTCTAAAATGAGTCGTCAGCTTGTCGATCGTCATATATTTCCCTTTCTCCAATAAATCTTTCTTTCGAGTTATATAAATGATCAGGAGAAGAGAGAAACCAAAAAAGAGGAACATACGACAAAGCGACAAACAAGATAAAACACAAAACATGGAGAGTTTGTGTGTGGTAAACCTTGCAAGGATAGGTTAAGAGTGTCCACCCAAACAAGACCGGGCGATAGCACCTTAAACCGTTATTCACAAAAAAATGCCTACGTAAACTACCCAAAATAAGAGAATCATATGTAGGTATCTGTTATGTGATCAAGAGCACTTATAAGGGGATGTATCCCACTTGGTTAATTACATCTTGGGGGTACCCAAGAATACTCTCAATAAAAGAAGTTTCACTTATATTGTCATAAACATGGGGTAATATGTACTCAAAGGAAATGTTACTCCGTGTGGGAAAAGTCTCAATGCTTCAAAGCTCACGCTAAGTCATCGAGCAAAGAGTGAGTCTCTCACATCCTGAATGGGTTGCGGCTCATCAGCATACGACACGCTAAGTCATCGAGCAAAGAGTGAGTCTCTCACGTCCTGAATGGGTTGCGGCTCATCAGCATACGAAGCCCACAAAATAACCTAAATCATCTCGATGGGGATATCCCAACATGTCAAAGCACGTTTGGATCATAAGGGCAGAGGACAAACTGTCATATCCCAAACGGGTGGTAGCTCATCGGCATCGGGTCGTCAAAATGATATCCATGAAGTTAATGAGCGATAAGGCTCTAAGGGGCTCAACAAAAGAAAGGTGGAGTGATCCAAAAAAGATAGAGGTAACTGGATCGGGGTACCATGGACCCGTCATCCATAGCTACAAGGACCCTATGTTTACATAGTTGAGAAGGTAGTCAACCCAACAGGCTCTGAGATCCTCGATCAACAATCCGTGAATTGTGTCATCCACATGAACCTCGGTAGCCCTAAGGATAAAGCAAACAAACTCTATCTTATGACTAAAGCTGGAACTCCAAGAGGTGGGACTTACTACTCGTCGAAGTGGCAAGGATGCCGCAGGAAAGAAGAGAAAGGGAGGTTCAACAACAAAGCTAGAAATGCTCCAAATAAAAGTTCTTACACCCTGTCTAGGTCAGGAAGCCTTCTAACACCCTAGGCGCGCTAGACAACCACCTATGTAAAGATATGTTGGGTAATCCCACTTTTTGGTACGATAGTATTACGATGTATGTATGTATTGATTCTCAATTCTCTTTATTTTATATTTCTTCCTTACAACGGCGCCAAAAACTTGATTCTAAAGTAAGTAAGAGTGCAATTGTTATATTTAAATATTGGGATACTACGCAAGTATATATATCGTTATCGAGTAATATATGACTTCTTAATTAAGCATCGGAATATCGATCTGACTGGGAGAACTACAAAATTTTAATAAGAAATTAGATAATAAACTCTACTTTGAAAAAGAGACTTATTCAAACTATAGATACTATGGTAAAAATAAAAGTTCGATTATTTTTTGTAATTTTTTATAATTAAAAATAAAGTAAACAACTTCTTTTTAATAATTTTGATAATTGAAAATAAAGTAAACAACTAACTGATTTTAACTAGATTTTTTTAAGATGAAAGCAATACAAATAATATATATTTTCCTTATCATAAATTAGTAACAAGTATATAAATTCTATTGTGGAAGTATTTAAATTGTGTTGTGCCAAACATGAGCAATATTATTCTTTATTCTTATTAGAGATGTAATAAAGAATATTGGCTAATCTAAAGTTTGAATAGTCCTGAAGACAGACTAGGTAGGGAAGATACTAGCTCTCACTCTAGAGTTTCCTCTTCTCCCTCCACCTGGGAGCTAACATCTCGTATCAAAACCTAAAATAATTAACTGAATTTGGGGTTTTAGTCTGTCACTCTAAAGTCCTCTAACTCTACACCCTTCAAAGTTTATTTCCCTATTTATTTGCACTCAACCATATGAATTACATTCTCTTCGATAGAATCTCATGTGATTCTACCATTAGTTAACTGAGACAATATGATGCAGGTAGATTTAGTGTGCAAATTTTGCAAATATTTTTCGCAATATTAGAAAATACATACGACAGATACAATAATAAATATGAAAACTAATCCCAACAAAAATAACTTCAGTTAAAATAGTTTTATCTTTTAAAAAATTTTAAACTGCCAAATCCCTTTAAAAATAACACAAGTATATATATCGCTCAAGTAATAAAGGGCTTTAGTGTGAAAATAGTTTATCTTTAAAACTCTTTTTAAACCGTCAAATACCCTTTAAAATCAACACAAGTATATATATCGCTCAAGTAATAAAGGGCTTTAGTGGAATCCTAGATATCGATTCCACAGGGAAGTTGGAAAAACTTATAAGTAAATTCTTAAAATTATATTTATAATTTAAAAATACAGAAGGAAAAGTAAAGTGTGAAGTTTAAATATTAACTACTAATGTAAATGTTATATAAAATGTAGTTGAAAGACAAAGCTAACTAACTAAAAACTAAACTTTTAAAAGTAAAATTATGAAAACTAAACAAAAGTTTTTGTTCACAAAAAGTTAAAATTTAAGAAAACATCATTCCCCTTTACAATGAGTATGGATTGTGAGGAAATTAAAATCATTTGAAAAAATATATGTAAATTGTTTTGTGTCAAATAGGAGCAATCATATTCTTTACTCATTTCAAGTGTTATAAAGAACATTGACTAATCCAAAGTTTGGACAATAATTCTGTTGTTAGGTTTAGAGGATATTGGCTGCCACCCTGGTTGCCAAACGAGAGCTCCCACTACTCCCTCTCCTGAGGGCTAACAATCTCGCATCAGTTTCAAATTAAATTGACCAAATTAAGGATTTTAATCTATCACCTTAAAATCACCAATTCTACATCTAACAAAGTATATTTCCCGATTTATTTGCACCAATCCCATGGATGACATACTCTCCAATGAATCTCCCATAATACTCTCCCATAAAATCAAATGTGATTCTCCCCATATTATAGAAATCATAGCCCTTTTCCGAACATATGTTTCTCAACATATTTTAACATTTCAAATGGCCATATAGAAAAGTAAATGAAGATTGGAGTTCAAATCATCACAAATTATTAACATTTAAAACCGTATAAAATAAATCAATTCTTCACAAAACCATATCTCAAAGTAGGGAGAAGGATAAAGAGGACTACTCAAAATTGATGAGAAGGATACAACAAAACATGAATTTCATATAT